TTTTTGGGGGGGGGAGAGAGAGAGAGAGAGAGAGAGAGAGAGAGAGAGACAAGAGGGACAGGAGTTGGTAAAGCGCGTGCAGACGCACACACACACACACACACACACACACACACACACACACACACACACACACACACACACACACACACACACACACACACACATATACAACTTGGGAGCCGCAGATCGATACTCAAGAATCAATACATACTTGCGACTGAAGATGCGCTTGACAACATCGGTTTCGCGAAAGAGGTTGGGCATGACGAAGACAAGGAGCGACATGAGCTCAAGCAAATTGTTTTGCAACGGTGTTCCAGTCAACAGCACCCGACGCTTCGCCGGAATCTAAGGATCAAGCAAAAGTCACCACCGACAAAGTCAGTGATGTGGACGAGGTCATACGAAAACTGTTCAAAAGACTCGGGCGATCGATAAGGATGTGGGCCAAACCTTGTGCAAGTTTTGAAAACGCTGGGATTTCATGTTCTTGAGCATGTGTCCCTCGTCAAAAGTGACGCTCGACCACTTGAAGGCTTTGAGGAGGGAGCGGTCATATTCATTGTTCGAGCACACGGAATAACTATGGATGAAAAAGAAAGTCAGAAAGTGAAGAGGTGTTGCGACTGCGGATGCTGAGATCCCATTTTGAGCGCTGGCACCAGTACAAGTACAAGTGAGCGGGAGGGTAGGTAGTCTTACGTGGTCACCATAACTTCAAATTTAATGCGCTTCTTCAAAATGCCGCGACGCAGGTGCTGACGCTCAGCTTGAGGACCTAGAACGCAACATGCACCAAAATTGTGGTTGTGCGATGAGTGTGGGGCATGTTGGCTCTGGTCAAGGGCATGGCACGCGCTCACTCGTACCCGAGTAATCGAGCACTTGAATGTCGGGACACCATTTCTCCAGCTCACGCATCCAGTTTTCTGCCAACGACCAGAGCGTGAATACAAAGGCTGGAACTCGAGGTGGTAGGCAAGGCTTGACAAAAGGACAAGGTCACGCGAGGTTGAGCAATTCACAACAAAGCTGGCAAGTGGCACATACCGTGGGTTGATGGGGGCACGATAATCAGGTGTGGTTGCTGTTTCTCGCGCTGTGGAGAGTCGAGGAGATGGGCAATGAAAGAAATGGCCTGAACGGTTTTGCCTAACACGTGACAAGCAACGCGATGAGTCGGGAAAGGCTTGCTGGCTGGAAACAGAAGAAGTGAAGTTAAAATTGAGGAATTGGGATGCGTGAGAGCACAAACCAAGACCCATTTCATCGGCAAGGATGGCGTTGACGTCGTGAGCGTGCAAAAGGGCCAGCCAATTGAGGCCAATGAGCTGGTAGGGCTTGAGGGTTCCACCTGTCATGATGGACGGTTGCTCGGGCACAAGCATTTGATCACCGAGATCGTCCTTACTCAGGGCGCGCAGCTCCTCCAGTTTCTAGAACAGGTACAAGGTGAAATATTCCAAGGCAAGACAGTCAGTGAGAATGATTTCGAGCCAGTTGCAGCCGATATTATCAGTTTGTGCGATCAACTAGCGCACGCACCCCTGCTGCACCAAAGACGCGTTGCAGCTCCTTGGAAATCCGAGAGCACTCGAACAGCAATTGTTGTGTCACCTAATCGAGAGGGTGTTATGAACGAGCTGCCTCTGACTTGGACCGGCTTGGCATGCGAACATCACCAACCTGTCGCTCTTCGAGCATGTCAGAGCAGGCCTGAATCACGTTGACGCTAACGCCGGGCAGAGCGGAAACTGCTTCGACCTGTCGGTTGGTGCGCATTTTTTTTGATCATACATGAGCCAGCGGCTCAGGTTGAAGGCAGGTTGAAGGGCGCGACATGGCTTTGAGGGGGTGCAAGGTAGGATGGACAAGCAGCGAAAGCCACGAGCACAAACCAAGTCATTGTAAGAGGCAAAGGGGCGCTGCTTCAAGAGAGCGCTGACGCTTTTGGCCGGCATGCGCGGCAAGGCAGCAATGTCCTGGCAAGACGACCCGTCGGGGACGGAAAGTAAGACAGCGTGCTGCGAAGGGAGCGCGACTGCAAGGGCGATGCGTGATGTACCTCTTCATCAGCAGTGTTGAAGAAGCGGATGGTGCTTGCAAATTCGCGGTCGGCCGAGTCGTTATCTTCATCATCGTCCATATCCACATCATCGTCATCCTCTTCCTCGCCCTCGCTCCCACTATGGCGACTGGCGGCTGCAAGCTGTGCTTGCCTGCGAGCAGGGCGAGATAAGAAGGAGAGGCGTGAGGTGCACGGGCAGGAGGGATGAGCAATTGCTGGGTCAGCGGCTGGGGAAACATCAGACAACGAGCAGTGAAGAACATCAACGCACTTTTGTGCCTGGTGAGCCTTTGGACGTTTTGGGCTGGCAACAGGGGGACGAGCGCTTGTGGACGAAGGGCGGGCAGCATCTTCGTCATCGTCGTCATCCTCGAGAACGATGTAGCGGCGTTTGCCAGCGGCCAGAGTGGGGCCAGTCGATGATCGCGCGCCGGGCTGGCGCTCGAATCGCTGCAAAAGATCATTGGTAGCCTTGGTGCAGTCTTGGTCATGTTTGCACAGGAGAGCTTCAATGTCAGCGACGTCTTCATCGGGAAATATGCTGAGAATCTTCTGTACGTTCTGAGGATCAACACGCGCAGACGTGCTTTGACTGATTGGGCTGGCAGTCAGCTCATCATCGTCAACATCCTCGAGATGGTTGGGCAGCTTGGCCAGGGTGGCGACAGCAAAGGAGCCGTTCTCCTCGCTCGTCATGACGGCCGTCGTGGAGTCGCAGAAGCCGAAGGGCAGATGTTATGTGAACACCGATACTCGAAACACCACCGCTCGCCGTTGGGTGGGTGGACTCAGCGACCAGTGCATCCAACGCAACGAGGTCAGGCTGCAACGTAGCCGAGAAGCCGCACCTATACCTCGACGCACAAGTCAAAAACGATCAAAAAAAAAAAAAAAAAAAAAGAGAGAGAGAGAGAGAAGTCCAGCCGCGTGTGTGTTGTAACGGTCAGTAGTGTGGTCAAAAGGATGCTTACAACCCTTCTTTCTTATCTGGCGTACGTGTGAGAGCAACGAGGGAAGCAAGACCGCCAGGGCGCGCTTCACTTTTGACGCGAATGCAACTTGGGAACAAGAGTCGGGTCGAGCGCAAAATGGTCCAGAGGTGGTGATGGCGGGGAGGGTGACTGCCAAATGCCGCCATTGGCCCAACACATCAGTCGCCAGTGGCTGCTGAAAGAAAAAAAGCGGCTTCAAACCGTTTCCTATTCTTAGAGCACAAGGGCACTGTCTTTGGTGTGTGAATTCTTTTTTTAGGGTTTTTCTAGTTGGCTATTTCTGAATCGCTGGCAGGGGGGGGCGACGACGACGTGCAAGAGGACGGCGACGCGGGCGACGACGTGTTGAATTCCAATAGAGTTAGGATGTCGATGCACACGAGTGAATTCAATTTTAATTTTTTTTTTGCGGGGACAGTGGCGGTTGATCTACTCTTCTTGTTGCAGCTCGACGAGGACGCCGTTGCAATCCTTGGGATGCAGGAACATGACTGGTACGCCGTGGGCCCCAATCTGAAGTCACCACACACAAGATGATGAGCAGAAGCCGGGGAACTGCAAGTCGGCTCGGCGGCACCCGCCTGACCTTGGGCTTATCCGAGAGAGTACGAATCTTTTGCTGGCGAACGACGTCAATGGCAGCGTCAAGGTCCGACACCTATACGTTGCACCAATACTAGTGAGGAAAATGACCCTTCTAAATTACCATGTGCCCGTCCGATGCGGAGCGCAAGCACCCGTGGATGTGCAAACTTGCATCGAGGCAGACGTGATGGATGCCACCGGCCGGGTTCTTGCTCAAAAAGTTGGCAATGGGGCTCTTCTCCCCCAAGGGATAAAGAAGCTGAGAGTGCGATTATCCACCAGGCCTCGGTGAGGACGAGGGAGAGGCAATACAGTCGGCACAGAAGAACGGGCCATACCTCAATCTTGGTATCACCACCCAGCTCGACAAAGATAGTGGTCACGCCATGGTCGGGTTGATCCTATTCATAGACGCCATGGTGAGCTCACAGATGACGAGTGGACTGGTCGAGAAGAGAGTCCATCATCCGAAGCAAGCAGGCACGAGACTTGCCGCGGGAGCGCTGACGGTAGCACCAAGCACATCCCGATAGAGGGCCGAGGCCTTTTCTGTCACATTGTAATGGGTTGAGCCAGCGGGCTCACAGCAGTTCCGACGTGTCGGTAAGTTGGAGCACTTCAAGACATACCCATGTCAGGGACGGCGATGGCCACATGATTGAGCTTGCCCAACTTGAAAGGAAGGGCAGGAGCGCCTGAGGGAGCAAGGGGGGCCAGCAGTCAGCGCCCGACACCACCGGGCAGTGACCACAAATCTCAAGTCTGACAGGCAACACGTGTGGCTTACCAGTAGCGAGAGCCCGTGTTGTGACCGCAGAACTCCGGCACACGGCCGGCACAACCCCAGCGAGACGACCGAGCAGCATCTTGGATGGCAAGGAGCCTGATGTAACAAGTCGTGAGGCGCGAGAACAGGGTAACTAAAGATGGAGAGCCAGTTTCAATTTTAGTCCTCAAATGATGCAATGACTGCGCGAAGGCAGTGAGATGGTTGTACTCAGCCACCTACGCTTGCGAAAGCATAAGCGAAAATCAAGTGAGAAGGTCGCAAAGCGAATGGAGTGAGATGAGAGAGGAGACAAGCAAGGATAGAGCAGAGCACTCGATTTGGTTGGTGGTAGAGAGAGAGTAAGCCGCAGCACAAGGTTGGCTTCAATGATTTTTGGCTGATGAATCACATTTGCGAATTCAGTGAGATTTGGGACATAAACGCTCTTTTATTGTAATTATAACCACACTTTTGAATATTAAGAGTGAGACTTTGCTACACTTCCAAAGGTCAAGTGGTTTGAGCTGTTTTGGGTGAACATGGACAAACATAGTACGGCGGGATTTTGCCTAAAATTATCGCTTAGCGAAGGCAGTGAGATGACTGAACTCGACTTTGCGAAGGCATGAGCGAAAATCAGCTAGCGACGTCGCCCTAATGAAGGAGCGAGGCCGACGTCCTCGGCGCCAACGGCGAGGAGGCTCGAGATGCTTTGACAACCGGATTCATTTTGCTTTTCTGATTTTTTTACTGGATCCGATTCCACGGCTGGCTCGACAACTGGCACACTGGCTCGACAGCTCAGCTTGGTAGCTCTTCGCTGGCTCTCCTTTTGGAAGGGGCGTCAAGAGCAAGCGAGCTTTTTGTTGGAGAAGGCTGGGTGAAAATATGAGAGAGATTCGGGTCGCATGCACCGTCACGCTATCGTACATAGCGGGCGGGATCAAGATTCACGTTCGCGGCAAACAGCAACAACGTATCCGCTCCACACACACGCATGCGCGCACACAACCAGATTTCACTCAAGGGGAGGATGAACATGATGGATTCAAGCAAAGGGAACCACCACCAGCCTCCAACGACCAGCTCTGTCAGCCAGCAGGTCAAAATCGATGGCGCCAAGGCCCTGCACTCACTCGGGCACTCAGTGCTCCGCATAGAAAGAGAAAGCCACCGTTTCATGTGTTTCTTGTTCTGACAAGAATCAAAGTCGTTGTGTTTCACTTCACAACAAATTTCGGACTCAACACACACACACACACACACACACACACACACACGAGCGCATTTCACTGACCATGATGATGCGGCTGCGAAGGAGCTCAGTACGGCTTTTAGCGCTGATTTCCAGCGCCCTGCTGGTTTGGGTCGTGGCTGCCGGTGTTGAAAAGCCAAGCATTGCTGTTGATGAGGATGGAACGCTCTTTATCAACGCCACCAATCGGGTGGTGCTCAATGGTGTGGATGTGGTGGCCATGTTAAAGACGATTGTGCCCGCGGTGGTCAAAACGAGCCCAGAGATTATTTTCAAAGCGCATGAACACCACACCATCACGACTAACGCTCTCCTTGCACGCTCGGTGCATGCAACCGATCTGGACAACGACGGCCATATCGACATTCTCAGTGCCAGCTACCAGGACGACAAGATTGCGTGGTACCGCAACAATGGTAACGGCACCTTTTCAACGCAGAAAGTCATTACCACAGACGCCGATGGAGTTCACTTGGTATATGCCGCTGACCTGAACCAGGATGGCCTTGTCGATGTCCTCAGCGCCAGTCAGAAAGACAACAAGATTGCGTGGTACCGCAACAATGGCGGCGGCTCCTTTTCCGCACAAATCGTCATTTCCACAGACGTCAGCGATGCATTCTCGGTCTATGCGGCAGACCTGGACAACGACGGTGATCTCGACGTCCTCAGTGCCAGCCTCTACGACCACAAAATTGCGTGGTACCGCAACAACGGTGACGGCACATTTTCAACACAAATCGTCATCACCACAAACGCTGTTTATGCGCGCTCGGTATATGCGGCGGATTTGGACAACGATGGTCTGATCGACGTTCTCAGTGCCAGCGCGCTTGACGAAAAGGTTGCATGGTATCGCAACAATGGCGGCGGCTCTTTTTCAACACAAAAAGTCATCACCACAGACGCAGACGATGCGCGCTCAGTATACGCAGCGGACCTAGACAACGACGGCTATATCGACGTCCTCAGCGCCAGTGCTCACGACAACAAGATTGCCTGGTACCGCAACAACGGCGACAGCTCCTTCTCCACACAGATTGTCATTTCCTCAAACGCTTCCCAGGCCGACGCAGTGTATGCGGCAGACCTAGACAACGACGGCTATATTGATGTCCTCAGCGCCAGTTCTAAAGACAACAAGATTGCGTGGTATCACAACAATGGTCGTGGCTCCTTTTCAACACCAATTGTCATCACCACGAACGCCGAAAAAGCAAGCTCGGTGTTTGCGGCGGACTTGGACAATGACGGCGACCTCGACGTCCTCAGCGCCAACGAGAACGAGAACAAGATTGCGTGGTATCGCAATCAGTTGAGTCAATTACTTTTTCAGGAGTAGCCTACTTTGGTCAAAAGGCTGCGTTGAACTTAGCTGCCAAGGTAATCGACTCTTCACTTCCCAACTCTGCATGTTGAAACATCTTTGCATTATGCTGCCGCGTCAATTCATTGCAAAATTAATTCATTCAGGGCGGAGCGGGTGACTCACAACATGAAGTCACAACAACATAATTTCCACAAAGCCCGAAACTCGATCAGCCAGCAATCACGAAGCAACGGTCCCTGCAGGCGGTAAAAACCAGTACGAGTATAAGTATAGGTCTGCGATTTGGGCCTTTGAGTTGCAAGGAGCCCGAGCGCTATTCATGCGACGCGAACCATTGGAGCCGGGTGCCCTCCTCAGCCGAGGACTAGGGTCGTGTTGGTCAAGATGGCGTTGACGTCAAAAGCAATTGTGTTCACGTTCACATCGTTGTTGTTGATGATAAGGTAACTGGTGACGCTGATCAGACTGGCCAGTGGCCCGAGTACTCTGGGGCACTACAAGTGTCCGAGGTCTCAGGGAAGCCATAGAAAGTTGGTTGGTTATGTGAGCAGATTATTTTGGTAACAAATGATTTTTGGCTGATGAATCACATTTGCGAATTCAGTGAGATTTGGGACATAAACACTCTCTTCTTGTGATTATATCCACACTTTAAACTTATAAAAGTGAGACTTTGTTACACTTCCAAAGGTCAAGTGGTTTGACCTGTTTTGGGTGAACGGTGAACTCAATGGCAGGATTTGGCCTAAAATTATCGTTTAGCGAAGGCAGTGAGGTTGGTGCACAAATGCAGATTTTGGTACAAGCACGGCTCAACCAACTTTCTGGCTGAATATTTCATCTTGCGAATACAGTGACAGGTGCTGGTCATTGCTGCGGACACATTCCATTGCCAGCAGCGACCTGACTCAGCAAAACCCGACGACGGGGCTGTGCTCGCTCGCGCTTTCGCTCTCGTGCCGGTACTTGGTGTGTGGCGTGTTCAACGGACCAAAGTTTACATGTTAACCAATGTGAGGGTCTGATTAAGCACAGACGCTTGCGCCAAGCTGATTGACGACCATGGAGGCAAAGGGTGAACGGCGGCGGGCACCGCCCAGTGCGCTGCGTGAATACTTTGCCAGTCTAGGCGAGCCCCAGGCTGCGGTTCTGGATCAGCTCGAGGCTGTCCAGCGCTCCTTCCCACAGCCCGAGTGGTCAAGCATGACTGAAAATCAGCGAGATCGCGCCCTCTCAAAACCCTTTCTCCTCTCCGACCTCACCATTCTCGTCTACAATGAAGCTGACTTTGGCCGTGTCGTGGTAGGTCCGCACTGCAGCTCCAAGCTTGTGGGCAAGCGCCTCTGGACTAACCCTGTGTCCCACCTGATAACCATCATGCCTCCCCCCCTCCCCCCGCCTGCCTCGCTTCGTCTTAGCACGAACTGCGCAGTAATGCCATTGCCAAGCAGCACCACCTGCGATGGCAACAAGATATCGAGGCCCGCAAGCTTGCCGTCAAACAAGCACAAAAGCGCAGCTGGTTCCGTCCGGCTGCTCGTCGATCCAGTGCTGCATCCCCACGCCCCAGCTTTGCGCCGCAACCAACCAGCACCGCCCAAGCAGAGGTCCCTGTCCCCCCAGCTGACAACTCCGACCACGCAGACTTGACCCAGATGGCACAGCAGTCAGAGGAGGTCGGCCTCCCTAACCCCCAACCTTAATACGAATCTTAATTTTTTTTGCACCAAGAGCGCTCTGACTCACCTGTTGGCCTCACCCTCCTTGTTGGCCTCCGTTCTTGACGCAATACCGCTCCTGTCGTTGCCACGAGCAGTATGTAGAAGTGATTGGCCATGGGCCCAGCCCCGCAAACCCCAACCTCGAGGTATGTTGGAATCGACCTACTCACGCTCGATCTCGTCACAAAAAATGTTCACACGGTTCTCTGCC